TAGTTTCCATCTCAAGAAACCACTTTCTTTATTCATGAAAAAGAAGCAACTCCTCATCTGTTCGTTTTGCCATAACATGGCAGCAATTCAGTCACATCTTCAGGCTCCAATTCTAATTTCAATTCTCTTGCTGTTTCCAACACATCTATAGTTACTTCCTCTGCTGAAGCCCCTCAACATCATCCCTAAGGGTTGAAATCAACTTCTTCTAAACTCCTGTTAATGTCAATATTTTGACCTCCTCCCTTGAATCACAAATATTGACATTTAGAATACTGAATCCTCTTCAGAAGGTTTTCAATTTACTTTGCCCAGATCCATCAGAAGAATCACTCTCTATGGCAACTATAGCCTTATGAAATATATTTCTTAGGTAATAAGACTTGAAAATCAAAATTACTTTTTGATCCATGGGCTGTAGAATGGATGTTGTGTTGGCAAGCACAAAAACATTAATCTGCTTGGACAGCTCCATCAGGGCTCTTGGGTGATCAAAATGCATTGTCAATGAGCAGTAATATTTTGAAAGGAATCTTTTATTCTAAGCAGTAGGTCTCAACAGTGGGCTTAAAGTATTCAAGAAACCATGTTATAAACAGATGCACTGTTATCCAGGCTTTGTCATTCCATTTGTAGTGAACAGGCAGAATAGATTTAGCATCATTCTTAAGTGCCCTAGGGTATTCGGAATGATGAATGAGCATTGACTTCCCACTTGAAGTCATCAACTGCATTAGCTCCTAGCAAAAGAGTCAGCCTATCCTTTGAAGGCAGACTCCTCCTGTCTAGCTATGAAAGCTGCTTCCCCACTAAACTTCATCATTTCTAGCTTTTTATTTAAAAGGAGAGACCTGCACCTTTTCCTTTCACTTGAACTCTTAGAAACCGTGATAGGGTTATCAACTGGCCTAATTTCAATATTGCTATGTCTCAGAAAATAGGTAGACCCAAAATAGGGAGAGAGATGGGGGAATGGCCGGTTGGTGGAGCCATCGGAACACAGGCAACATTTATCTATTAAGTTCCCCATCTTATCTGGGCATGGTTTGGGGTTTCCCAGAACAATTACAACAGTAACATCAAAGATTACTCATCACAGATCACCATAACACATATGATAATGGAAAAAGTTTGGCCAGCCACGGAGGCTCACACCTGTATTCCCAGCACTTTGGGAGGCTGAGGCAGGGGGATCACTTGAAGTCAGGAGTTTGAGACCAGCCTGGCCAACATGATGAAACCCCATCTCTACTAAAATTACAAAAATTAGCCAGGCATCGTGTGCCTGTAATCCCAGCTACTTGGGAAGTTGAGGCACAAGAATCGCTTGAACCCGGGAGGCAGAGGTTGCAACAAGCCGAGATCGCGCCATTGCACTCCAGCCTGGGCAGACAGAGCGAGACTGTGTCTCAAAAAAAAGAAAAAAGGAAAAGAAAAAAATTTGTATTGTGAGAATTACCAAAATGTGACACAGAGACATATAAGCACATGCTGTTGGAAAAATTAGCACCAATAGACTTGCTGGAATCAGGATTGCCACAAAACTTTAATTTGTTTAAAAAAACACAATATCTGGGAAGTACAATAAATTGAAACTCAATAAATCGAAGTGTGCCTGCATATATTTTAACAGCTGTCACCAGAATTCATCTTGCAGGAAAAAAATAACTGTCTTTACTTAGAAAACTACATTAAGAAGATCTTGGGTTAAAAGGTGGGACCCCAATGCCTCGATTTGGCTGGTAAGACATCACAGGGAGAAAGGAGAGAAGGATTTGAAGTTCACAGGACAATCCTGGAAGGAAGGAATGAGGAGGAGAGAGATAGGAGCCAAAAGCAGGGGCTCCAGGATGATGATGAGAGGTTGTCACTGTGAGGTGAGGTCCCAAATGCCTGCATGAGCAGAGTTTTCCGTTGTGAAGTAAGGACCGGGTTTCTTATAACAGCGGAATGATAAAGGTAGTAGCAGCAGCATCCAAAGTCACAGAAGACCACAGTTCCAGGCAATATGCCAGATCTGGGGTGTGTCGTGCAGATGGAGAAGTAGTGTCTGGGAAAGTTAGCCACAGAGAAATTGGGGCACTGTCAGTTCTCAGACCCAGGTCTGGCTGATTCGAAGACTTTCCACAGTACCCCAACCTCTCTGGGGCCAGAGCAAACTATCAGGAAAACAGGTTTAGGAAGAGAAGAGAAAGGGATGCAAAGAATCCAGGAGGAAGGGCCTGTTTGAACAAAAGCAGATAGGACGCATGTCACAGCCTGGCCCAGCACCGTCTCCCTCCATTCATTCCCCCGCAGAAAACCAGAGGCTCCTTCTTTGGGGGAAAAAAAAAAAAACAAAACTCCAGAGAAAAGACTTACAGAAACTGAACTGAGGTGGTTGTACCATGCAAAAAGCCAGTTTGCCAACCTGCCCGTCCACATAGCACCTTCTATCAGCTTTTTAGTGTCTCGTCATAAAATATAAACAAAAGGATGACCAGATACTTGAAGGAAGTTTCCGATATTAAAGACAAAGTAAAACAAGCAAACAAACAAAACAGTAAAAAAGGAAATTGAAGAAAACAGAAACAATGCAGAATCCAAAACTATATATATATATTTTTTTTTTAAATAATCTCAGAGTGGGAGAGATGTATATCCATATAGCAGTTATAGCCTTGAAACAAGAACTGAATGTTATAAAACAGGAACAAACAGAGAAGAAAAAAAATAACTTTTTGGGAAAAAATATAACAAATTTAAAATTTAGTTCAAAAATTTGAAATTGAAAGAGAGATAAATGGCAGAACTGAGAAAGTCAAAAGCATAATAGGGACCAGACCTGGTGGTGCTAGGGTCTATGTCAGAGCTGCCCTGAGCCCCCTGCACTCCCAACTGTGTTGCCAAAAGGTCCTCCACCAGACAAATGACCTCTCAACCCTGGCTGCATGTTCAAATCGCCCAGAGAGCTTTCAAAAATCCCAGTACCAAGTCATATCCCAGACCAGGTAGAGCAGAATTTCTGGGGCTCAGAGCAGACATCGGTATTTTTTAAAGCCCTCCAGGTCATTCCAATGTACAGGCAAGGTTGAGAACTTGTGGTTGAATGGAAACAGCGTTATAATTAAAAGCACAAGCAAATGAAGTAAATAATAATTAGAAGTAGGATTACTCATGATTTAGTTGGCTACATCTTGGAGGAAGCTAGGATGGGTTTGGAAAGGATGTGTGCCACAGAGAACGCCATAAAGAACAGCGTGGCCTATACACAGCAGAGTTAACTGGAGCCCATGTGCTCCAGACAGCATCCACGTGCTGCTGGCCGTAAGGCTCCCCGCTGACTTTGCTTAGAGTTGGAATTAGATAATGAAGCATGTAACTGCATATTCACTGTAGCTGGCTTGGTTTACTGGGAAGGACACGTCAGAAATGAAACCCTGGCCAGGGAAATGTGGATGGCCGGCCTCGCAGCGATCCAGCCATCCAGCTGGAAGAGAGAGTCGGTAGTGATGACCCATCTTCAAATGCCCTGCATGTGCTGGGCAAAACATTCTCGGTCTCACTTCACAGCATCAGTGTCATGTTCTCTATTTTACTGAGGCTCAGAAATGGACAATGACCTGCTAAAACTCCCACATGTAGTTAGTGGTGGGTGGGGATTTGAACCCAGGTCCATCTGAATCCACATTCGGAGCCCATGTTTATTGCACTAATGTCAAGGTCCCCTTCAGCCCGTCTCCTGACACCACTGAGATAGAAAAGAAAAAAAGTGGCAAGTGAGCATCATCCTGTCCCATCTCAAGGCCCCCTCCCACACAGACCAGTCCTCCCCTGGTAGCTAACACACCTCCTGGCACAGGGGGATGCTTTGTAAGGGTTCGTTGAATTAAGTGAATGATCCTCAGGTGACCACCCCTTTCAGGTGCCTAAGCCTCACCAAAATTAGCCAAGGAATTCCAAAAAGACCAACATGGATGTGGTACCAGATGCCAGGAGTAAGGTGTGGCTGGGAGCAACCAAAGGCCCAGGCCCTCTTTGCAGGGGGCTAGAAAGGAGAGGATTCTGTGTTCAAATCAGAATGAACTATATCAGATGTCCTTAAGGAACGAGGGTCTCCGGCTTGCCTTGGTCAGCATCTTCCAGCCACCTGCTCTCCCCTTGGACACGGCTACAGCTCTCTTAACATCACTGAAGCTCCTTAGCAGGTACTCTCAGCATCTTATGAGGAGCACATGCCAACTGGGAACGCACATCTTCGTTTTTAGTTTAGAAACTTTGGTCTTGGCCCTTCTCCCTTTCCCACTGGGATTAATGGAACTTGCTATTTGCCTTGCCTGTTTGGGGACGACATTCTGGACACAGATGAGAGCCTTTGGGTCAAGCTGCTGGGAGCTCTCACACCCGTCTGAGGAGGGCTCATTGTACACCTCGCCAGACGCCAAGAGCACAGGAGCACATGCATGAGCCTCCTAAGGACAGAGCCTTAGCATTCAGGATGGAAGCCCTGAAGGCGAGTGCACTCTCCATCTCCTGCTTACGACGGGCTGTGGGTTGTTAAGGGGGTTGCTGAACTTGGAGGGCTGCATGAAAGGGCTGCAATGGAAGGGGGCTGATGTAAATGCACCCCTAAAAGTACCCTGGGAGGGAGACACCCTGTCACCGGTCTTACAGGGACCACAGACAAAAGGCTGATAAAGTGGCCTAAAACCCTCCCCATTATGCTGATCTCAGTTTCCATCTCAGTTCTGTCCATCCCACTCTGGGATCCCCAGGTGACCACGTATACTAAGAGGGATTACAGAGAGGTCTGGAAACACCTGGCACCACACTGGAATTGTGGAGAAAGGTCTTCATTGGGGAAGCCAAGCAAAAGCTCTCACTGTAGGCCTCTACCCACCCCAAACAGGTGCACAGTGACCCTGTCATCCAAAGGGTCATACTTGGTCACACCTCTCCCATGAGTCTGCCCAACAGTCACCCCCTGAACACAGCAGAGACAAAAGCCAACACCACCAGAATGGTGCAAGTTAGGCATCAGGGGCCTTAGCAAATGCACTTTATTGTTCTGCCAACAAAAGCCCTCTACTGCATTTCAGAATCCACTGTAACAGCACCCAGAAGGAAAAGCTGACCCAGGAGGCAGCCTGAGAACAGAGACACCATTGAAATGATGAGGAGTTGAGACCTTTGGGATCAGCCAGCCTTTGTGACAGGCTCTGAGAAACTAAGGCACGTATTTGCAGTGAGCCTTTTCAGGGCCAGACCCTGGGCCTGGGCTCTGCATGAAGAGAGGGGATTGGGCTACAAGGGTTAAGGTTGGGTAGAGGCCAAGTTCAAGCCCTAGAGACGATGGCTATGCCCTTCTGGGTCACCCCCTCTCAGAACCGGCCCCCTGGGCAGGGCACACAAATGGGGCGGGGGCTGCAGGTTAGGCGGGCTGCACTAGGACCGCAGGAGGCCAAAGGAAGACAGGGAAGGCATGACTTGGAGGGTGAGTAGTCAGGTGCACATGAGTTACAGGGGAGCCTAGAAAAAAGAAAACAGTCAGATTACTATGATTTTCCAGTTGCTGTTTGCAGTAACTCAACGTAGATCCTAGACTATGCAAACTGGGAAGCACCTTAAAAATCACCTGATCCTGCCCCCTTGTTTTACCAAAAGGGAAACAGGCCCTGAGAGGAAAGGGGGGGGGGGGGGCTTGCTGGAGTCACGTGATGAGTTTGCAGCAAGACCAGAACTAAGAGACCAGGACTCCAGACTCCGGATGCCAGGCTCTTTCTAGGCACCACGCTATCTTCCCAGAACTTGGTAGGTTGCAGTGAGAAGACTAGAGCACATGCAGTGATACTCACTTGCTGTCCTCACTCTCCAGCAGGCCCCGGTATGTGTTGATCTCACACTCTAGCCGGGCCCGGACGTCCAGCAGCACCTGGTACTCCTGGTTCTGCCGCTCCAGGTCAGCCCGGATCTCGGCCAGCTGGGTCTCCACGTTGGTAATCATGCACTGCATCTGGGCCAGTTGGGAGCTATAGCGGGCCTCCGTCTCTGCCAGGGTGGATTCCAAAGCATCTCTCTGTGAGGGCAAGGGTTGTATAGGGAGGAAAAAGGCTAGAGGTCAGAGAAGGAGCAAGGAGGATTCAACTGGGTCTCAGTGAGGCCTCAGAATCCAAGAACAGAGGCTCGGAGAATCAGGGTTTGAGCTAGGATGAACCACAATCAGACATCTCACTTGAGATGAGCTAATTAGCACCTGTGGCTTCTTTGATCTAGAGAGTATCTCCCTGTTAGTGTCATCTCTGAGTAACTGATAATTACTCAGAAGATGTATCTGCTTACACAAATATGGGACCTACTGCCTGGACATGTCAGTTGCTACAGGTCTCTTGTCTTTTACCACTAGGGGATTCATGATTGGGGCTGGTCCCTCATTCCGTCTTTTCTGCATGGAGAACCCCTGGTGCTCAAGAACATGGACCCCTGGAGCCTGCCTGTGTGGTCAAAGCATGGAAGCTGGGGAGCTTGTGTTCTCCCCAGCTTAGTCCAGAGGCAGCTCCACCCTGCCTTGGGACTCACCATGCTGTGCTGGGCCTGCAGCTCAATCTCTAGGGTGTTGACTGTCCGTCTCAGCTCGATGATCTCTGCCTGGCAGGACTGCACCTGCTCTGAGCTGGAAACCACCTGCTGGTTCAGCTCCTCAGTCTGAAACACACATACACAGGACCTGGTCAGCAACACTGGGGACTTGGCTTCAGAGAGCTACAGAGGCCAGTTAGAATCATGAGCCAAGAAGGACCTTCCCAATCCCCTAGTCCCACTCATTTATTTTATACTGGAGGACATTGTTGCTCAGAGGACAGCAACCTGCCCAAGTGGCACAACAAGGTCAAAACAGAGATGAGACTCAAAGTTAGGTTTCTTGATTCAGAGCCCCAGGGTCACCTCCATGTGAGCCACCATGTACCCCTGTTGCACAGACTGTTTCTACCTACCTGGGTGTCAAACCAGTCTTCGGCATCCCGGCGGTTATTCTCCACGAGGGTTTCGTACTGGCACCTCATCTCATCCAGAACTCGGTTCAGGTCAACAGGTGGGGCAGCGTCCACCTCAACATTGAGCCGGTCACCAAGCTGGCAGCGCAGTGAGTTCACTTCCTATGGCACAGACCAGGGTCAGTACTAATTCCCAGAGGGCTGCCTCCCAAGCTCACCTCCTCCTCATGTTCACCTCCTCCCCATGTTCACCTCTCCCCCATGCTCACCTCCTCCCCTATGTTTACCTCCTCCCCATGCTCACCTGTTCCCCACGTTCATCTCTCCCCCATGCTCACCTCTCCCCCATGCTCACCTCCTCCCCATGCTCACCTCCTCCCCATGCTCACCTCCTCCCCATGCTCACCTGCTTCCCCATGCTCACCCATTCCCCATTCTCACCTGCTCCCCATGTTCACCTCCTCTCCGTGTTCACCTCTCCTCCATGCTTACCTCCTCAACATGCCCACCTGCTCCCCATGCTCACCTCCTCCTCCCCATGCTCACCTCTTCCTCCCCATGCACACCTGCACCCTCATGTTCACCTCCCCCCATTCTCACCTCCCCCCATGCTCACCTCCTCCCCATGTTCACCTCCTCCCCATGTTCACCTCCTCCCCCAGGCTCACCTGCTCTACCATGCTTATCTCCTCCCACATGCTCACCTCCTCATGGTTCTTTTTCAGGCAGAGCAGCTCCTCCTTCAGGGACTCCACCTGGGCCTCCAGGTCAGACTTGCACAGGGTCAGGTCATCCAGGATCCTGCGCAGGCCATTGATGTCCGACTCCACCAGCTGCCGCAGGGACACCTCCGTCTCATACCTGCAGGCATAGAACAGGGCACCTGCATCCGCGTTTCCTTTTTGCATCTAAATCAGGCCTGCCCTCAGACTGGCCAGGTGCTGTGAGTCTTGCTTTTATGCCTCGGGGACAGAGTACAGCCAAAACCCTGAGCCCAGGCATCACCTGTGTCCAGTTCTAGTGGCCCCCAACCACAGGACAAGCAGGACAACTCACTTGGTCCTGAAGTCATCTGCGGCCAATTTGGCATTGTCAATCTCCACCACCAGCCTGGCATTCTCAGCCTTGCTGCACAGGGTCTGGGGATATAAAGAAGTTATTTCATTGCAAGAAAGGACATTTCATTTGTTGGAGCTCCCTAAGGCTGACAAGGGCTGCCTCTGGAGAGAGGAAGTCACCCATCCTCGACCTCTGCTAGTCCATGGGTATTGGAGGGTTGTGGGCAGCCTCTAGGGATCAACTATGGAAAGTCCAGGGTTTCTTCCAATGCAGTGTGTCTGTGACCTGTGACCCAGGTTAGATAGCTGCATGAAAATGCAACAGGAGCCGGGCGCGGTGACTCAAGCCTGTAATCCCAGCACTTTGGGAGGCCGAGGCGGGCGGATCCCGAGGTCAGGAGATCGAGACCATCCTGGCTAACATGGTGAAACCCCGTCTCTACTAAAAAATACAAAAAACTAGCCGGGCGACGTGGCAGGCGCCTGTAGTCCCAGCTACTTGGGAGGCTGAGGCAGGAGAATGGCGTAAACCCGGGAGGTGGAGCTTGCAGTGAGCTGAGATCCGGTCACTGCACTCCAGCCTGGGCGGCAGAGCGAGACTCCGTCTCAAAAAAAAAAAAAAAGAAAAAGAAAATGCAACAGGAAAGGCCTGGCATGATGAAACGAAGCTTCTTCCTATCTCCCTGTCTCCCAGGCCTACTCAGGGCCCAGGGAAGTTCATTGCCAGCAATGTATTCCAGGATTCTGTGGTCATAAATGGTCCCTCACAGGAGCCAGCTGTAACTTTGGGCCAGGCAAGAAGCAGATATGGGGTCTTGGCAAGAAGGAAACTTCTCTGGCAGGCATTTTCATCCCTGAGTTACTTATGGGAAGCCTGAACTGCACTAAATACATCAAACCCAATCTCCTGACTTTAAATAAAAGAGGAAATGAAGACTCAGAGGGGTGGGCAATAGTACCCAAGGTCACAAACTTCATTCATAGACCCGATGTTCAAGCTCTGGCTCCAGTAACTGCCATCTGGGTCACTTACCCAGCCTGAACCTCAGTGTTCTCATCTGTATAATGGGCTACTGATACCTCCCTCAAAAGGTTATTGGGAGGAGCAAATGAGGCCACAGAGGTGAACATGCTTGGTGACTTCCAACATGCCCTGTGGGAACAGAACTATCAATGAATACTGGTGATACCAAGTTCCTGGGAATCCAAAGCCACTCTGAACCTCTTACCTTCTTCTGGAGTTCCTCAATGGTCCGGAAGTAGGACTGGTAGTCGGGGCACATGTAGGGGACCTGCTGCTCACACCACTCACGGATGCGGCTCTCCAGGCTGGCATTGTCCTGCTCCAGCTGACGCACCTTCTCCAGGTAGCTGGCCAAGCGGTCGTTCAGGGATTGCATGGTCTCCTTCTCATTGCCAGTGAGGATGCCCTCCCCAAACCAGCCCCCACCCACGCTGTAGCTGGTAGTGAAGCCTCCGGCGGGGAGGCAGAGAGTAGGGAGGCAACTGGTAGCCCTGTAGCTGCTTCTGCCCAGACCCGCTGAGCAGGCAGAGAAACTTCTGGCCCCACGGGACAGACTCGGGAGCTTGCAAGAGCTGCTGGAGTACATTGCAGACACACGAGTGGAGCCCCCACTGGCCCCTCCTGGGCTCTTGAGAGACCCAGAAGAGAAGCCCGCCTTGAGGCATTTGGAAGCCATGGCCCCTGCAACTCAGATGCAATTGATAGGTCTCTGAGACCAGACACCCCAAAGCAGAGAAGCAGCTCCTTACCCCAGATTTATATCTCTGCCCCAGTGGGCGTTGGTTGGCCTTTACAAAGTGTTTTCTCCCCATTAAAGTTAACACCACTTTCTTTTAAAACCCCTCATTAACCTGTTATTTAGTTTCCTGTGAAAATTTACCAGCCTCATAAAATGGGAGCCCCGTTGCTATGTCAAGACTCACCTCCACCACCCCACATCACTGGCAAGACCAAGTCCCCATCAGTTCTTCAAAGGGACCTGTCATCTGAGCCCAGACCTCAGCCTCCGCATTAAGCAGGCGTGGGAGTTCAGCCACCGTCTTGACTTTCTCCAGCTTTGACTTCTTTTATGGGCCCAAGGGAGTAGAGGAGGTCTCCGGGTGCTCCCAGGAGATGGAAGAGTAAACTTGGTTGTTGCAGGAAGGCAGGGGTCTTGCGGCCAGGGAGACACAGAAGGCTCTTGAATTGGCCCAGAAAATATGACTAGGGTGACCAATTTTCTTGGTTTCCTCAGGCATTTTCTGGCTTTAGTTGCAAAAGTTCCATATGCCAGGGAACCCTCAGTCCTGGGCAAAATGGGGTAGCTCGTCACCTTAGATACTGCAGAGCCCTGATGGACACTTCCCTACTCTTTCCCTTGCCAGGAAGTCTGCCCAGGTTATAGAGCCTAACTTCCAGCCACAATGCCTAGAGGTCAGTTAATTGGACACCTGCCCATGATGATATCTAGAAGGGTGTGTCTTCCCCAGTCCTGGTTGAGAAATGGAGAAGCTCTTCCTTCTGGCTGCCTGAATTGGAGCTCTTTTCACACAGCCCTGTCAATAACCTGGCTGATGGTAGCAACTATCATTCACTGAGCATTTAGTACCCACCAGCCCCTACGCTAATCTGTCTCTATGCATTCTCTTATTCAGTTCTCACACAACCTCGTGAGATTGGCATCACCAATAGCCCATTAAATAGAGGAGGCTTGGACTGTTGCAGGAGCCTGTCCCAGATCACAGCTGAACAAGCATCTGTACAACTGTTCAAGGCATGCTATCTTCTTTAAGACCCCACACACGCTGTGCAACACAGTCGTGGATAGAAAGGTGCTGACTCCTGCAGAAGCAGCCAATGGTCAAAGTGGAAAATGGCTTAACCAAGGTCCACACAGGCTTCCCAGTGAGGCTAAAGCCCAGGGCTTCCAGCTCCAAACCACAGGCCCACCCCACTGCCTCTAAGGGCCCAGTCCTGGTCAGGCCTTCCTTCTGGAGCCTGGGCCCTGCTCCAGCGCTGCTGTGCCCTCCCAGCTCTGAGTGCCCAAGGCCATGACTGTTGTGGATTTCCTGGCCTCCAATTAACTGACATCTGATTGTCTTGTGTTTCAGCCCTATTTTCCCAGGGAGACTATAAGCATGGGGGCAAGGATTGACCTTGTACTTTTTTTGAAATCTCTGTAGTGTTAAGCACAGTGCTGGGCTTCTAGATGTCTATGAATGAATTAATTAATTAATTGATTTTCCCATGGTGAATTGTGTTAAGAAAGGAAAGAAAGAATGGAAGGAAACAAAAGAGAGTAGGGAGCAGGGAAAGGAAAACACAGTCAGTCTTACCATTCCTACTTTTTTTTTTCTTGAGACAGAGTCTCACTCTGTCGCCCAGGCTGGAGTGCAGTGGCACGATCTCGGCTCACTGCAAGCGCCACCTCCCAGGTTGACGCCATTCTCCTGCCTCAGCCTCCCGAGTAGCTGGGACTATAGGCACCCGCCACCACGCCCAGATAATTTTTTTTTTTTTTTTTTTTGTATTTTTAGTAGAGACGGGGTTTCACCGTGTTAGCCAGGGTGGTCTCAGTCTCCTGACCTTGTGAACCACCTGCCTCAGCCTCCCAAAGTGCTGGGATTACAGGCGTGAGCCACCACACCCGCTCTACTATTCCTACTTTTAGAAATGAGGAAACTGAGACTCAGAGATGGAAGGGGATCAGGCATCTCTGTGTAGGTGAGCAGCACCTGTCCAGACTAATCAGCCCCTCTGGCCAAGAACAAAGTGTTTTCTGGGCCAAGAGCCATTCCGCCCAAGGGAGACGGATCCCATAAGCCAATTTAGTGCTAAAGGTGTGGCTAAAAAATTCTTGATAAGATTTTTAGATAACTTTATAAAACATATATGTAATATTTTTCAAGCTGTTTTAAGGTACTTTGTAAATTGGTCTGGTCTATTTCTGTTCCTTTTTAGCATTCTTTTCTTAAATGAAATAATTATCTAGAACCCCTTATCAGCAAGAACTAACATTGTTTAGCACATTCCTAGTGACTTTCCTGACAGGATCTTTGCACTCTGCTCAGATGTGGTCCAGGTTGTCCCAGATCATTCCATGGATACACTAAATATAGCCCTAAAATACTTTTTGCCCTCCTTCCTCCTTTTTCTGCCCATCAAATCCAAATCTGCCCTAAAACCTTTCCTGATCATCCCAGCCCTCAATGATTTCTCATCTTCCCCAAAACCTGAAACCCTGCCCACACTTGCTCCTGCTATCCCAGTGCAGTTGCTGGGAATGTGGGGGCAAGGTGTCTCCACAGCTGGGCGTGAGCTCCTTGGGAACTGTGCCTGTTATCCAGTCTTTGTTCCAGCCGCTTCTGCCACCCCTGCTGCTTCCTAGATAGGCCTGAGCCTTAAGATTGGATTGGCGGTGTATGCCATGTTCCATTGTTATCTCTTCATTGATTAATTGATGTATATGTGTAAATGAGAAAGACAGTCAGCGTATCTGGAAAGTACAAAAAAGATCAGAAAAACCAGACCACCTTGAAATAAAACATCATATTCACTCTGGGGAAATTTTATTGAATGTTTTCTACTATTTCTCTCTTGATATCAATGAAATAGGAGCCCAAAGACCTGAGAAGGCTCCTAAGTCAGCCACATGCTGTGTGACTTTAGACCAGTCGCCATCTACCGCCACAACACTGTTGAATTCTGGTTTGCACATCGGTCAGTGATTTCAATTGCAACTCAGTTAAGGGTGTGTGTGAGGTTGAGATAGGAGGTGTTTTCTAACTGATACAGGTGCTCTGGACAATGTAATTAAAAGCCAGGCAAGGATGCATAAATAAAGAGCTCACAGCCACACAGGGCTGACCGTGTGCATCAGATGAGGCTATGAGTGTGCCCTGTAAACTGCAGAGTGATCATAAAAAGGGAAAGCACTGTACAATGCAAGATGCTGATGATGTGATTACTTGTCAGGTCACGCCCTGTGTGGTCCATCCACAGTGACAAGGCAGCTCAGCGGTTTCCCGGAGACTCGGTCCATTCCTGGACTCCTGCCTGTTTCTGCACAGAGGACCCCTGTCTGTTTCCGCACAGACTCCAGCCTCAGGCCAGAGGCAGGGGTGCAGACCTTAGGCCCCAGAGCATGAGTGGAGCAGTGAGGGGCAAGGGGCAGGGCAGATGAGAGAACCATGCTGACTGCCTCCCCTGCCCAAAGCCAGGTGCATCCTCTGAGGCTGAGGCTTTGGGTTCACCGTCCAACTCCAAGGACACTGCTGGCAGCAGAGCCCCCACTGTAGCATCCTGACAGATACAAAGCAAAGAGCTTGGCCCTCGCAGTGGGGGTTCCTGTTTGACACTCTGAGGCCAGGGACTCTGCATTTGTAGTAAGAGCAACACTGACAGCTACCACTTTTTGGAAGCTACACACACACTGTCTCATTGGAGCTTCCCGGCAGCCCCATTTCACAGATGAACCTGCTGAGACCAGATAGGTCTCATGACATAACCGGGCATGTACCACAGAGCGGCAGAGTCGAGCTCAGTGCAGGATGCTCTGATGCTACCTGTGCGTGTCTTCTCCCGGGGTCTGATACGTGTTTGCTGCACCTCTGGCTTGCTCAGCAAGTGACTGAAGAGTCCCGTTTAGCAGCAAATAGCAGATGACCTGAGGCAGAGTCAGGTCGTGGAGGTCTTGACCATGACCCAGAGGAGAGCCCAGAGGAAAGTGAGTGCAATAGAGGGGGAGGGGGGAAGAGAGAGAGAGAGACAGAGAGAGAGAGACAGAGAGAGAGACAGAGAGAGAGACAGAGAGAGAGACAGAGAGAGAGACAGAGAGAGAGAAACTGCTGAGAAGAGCTCCAGAGTCAGGGTCAGGATAGCCGGGTGATAGGCAGGTCTCTGCCACTCACTGCTCTGTGGCCTGGGACAAGTCACTGCCCTCTCTGGGCCTATTTTCTCAAGGGAAGACTGGAGCAGGGAGCAAAGGAACCAACTGTAAGGCCCTCAGACCTCTCCCAGGCCATGCTTCTCTGATCAGAGGGATGTCCAGGTCTGGCAAAGTCAGGCCCCACCACAGACCTGCCTGACTCGGGTCTGCCAGTGGAATCCAGGGCTTTGACCTCTGCTCCACAGTGAAGTCCGGCTGTCCTCTCCCCCCACTCCATGTCTGAGCCCCCACCCCCACCCCACTATCCCCGACACCCTTCAGTTCAGCCCTGTGTGCCTTGTTGGTACACGGATTCACCTGCCCTCCACCTTCACCTCCCTGCTCTCCCTGACTGCCTGCCCCGGCGTGGCTGGCTCAGGCTGACTGCCTAGAGTTTGGCCCTCTCTGCTTGTTCCTGGGACCTCCTCTCCTGAACCATCCCCAGTATCAGGGAGCAGGATGACAGGAGCTGGACAAGAGAGAGGAAGCTGAAAGTAAAAGAGAGATAGCCACCGAATCCAGGTCGGGCTACGAAGGAGGACTGGCTCGGGAGCCTTTGCGTCTTCTGGGGTAGGCACCGTGAGTAGATGTCTATTCACTGGTAGGGCCAAGCTGAGAGCTATGGCCAGCACCCATCCAGACTGGGTCAGTGTCTGTTCTCATTGGCCAGGTCCTTAGGCTTCTTTGTTATTAAATACTTGAAATCACCCTGCCACCGCCTTCCACTCAGAGCCCGAGAAGATAGACCTAAATGCAAACCCCACAACTATACTGCAGCCCCTGATCAAACACCCCCATGAACCATACGAGCAC